TACATGCCAAGCAGGTGCTGTGCTGCTCATCTATATCCCCAACCCAGAATACCAATTTCAAACATAAATTAAAAGCATCCCTCAAACCATGCAGGTAACAGACATTACCTTAAACCATGCCTACATAGACATTAGTGAGAGAACAATTTTTACTAAACACAGTGAAAAAAAACCCGTTTCTTTAGGGTTTGGACAATGTTTTCTGTGGGTTAGAAAGTGCAGGAAGGAGGGTGAGTTAGAAAATGTCCTGTGCATATTGAAAGAGACTCACCCTCACAGGCTGGCGTGGGACCACTCCATTCTCCAGAGGGCAGGCACTGCGTGTTCTGTTTGCTGCTCGCCAGGTAGCCCTGTTCACAGCTCACAGAGCAGGAGGAGTTGTAGCTGGAGGTCCTGAAGGGGTTGGTGCAAACCAGCCTTCCATGTTGAGGGTCTTCCTGTGCTTCACATGTAACAACTGAAAAGATGCAAACCAGGTCTGTTGTCTCACCTTGTGATTTTTTCTTGCTAAGTGTTTCCAGTGTGCCAGACACTAAGCAACCATAAACCTGTGATATTGATGAGTTTTTTACTGTATTTTATTCTGGGTCTCATAACTATAGTCATGGGCCTCATAATGACTTTTTCATCAATGACAGCCTGTGAGTATTGCCGTGACCCTATAAGACGACCAGGCCAAAGTACCATAGAAAACAAGTAGCGAGTCTGATATTTGACTCTGAGGGCTGACTTCATAATCTCAGCTCTCAATCACCAACTTACATCATATGACCTAGGATAAGGATGATATACAAACCTGACTCCCAATCCAGCTAGGACAAGAGAAAATAATGTCACCTCAGAGAAAGGAAGAGGTGAGACCCATACTCACCTTGCTCACACCTGAGTCCGTGGAAGCCGGGGTGGCACTTGCAGCTGTGGTTTTTAATGGTCTCTACACATTCCCCATGACCACTGCAGGACTGATTAGTACCGGAAGCTGCAAAGATCACATTCTCCAATGAGCATCATTGTTACTGTGTATGTCACATGTTCCTTTGAACTGAAGACCAGCAGTGAACAGAGACATCATCAAGCGCACAGTGTGCATAAGATTTTACTGAGTTTCAGGTTCATTGAGTTGATGCCTGGATGTTAATGTATGGAAATTAGGAGTATAGCTGGTCCCAGGCATAGAAAATTTATTTTATCATTAACCCTGAAAACTGTTTCTGTATCAAAAATAAACAAGTAACTAAAATACATACTACATGTGTGTCTATGCAGTCTAATACATATAGAATTATTGGTATGCATATGGACATATATTCTCATCTACATTCAAAGATGTAAAGAGATATTTTAACTGGTAAAAAGTGTGTCTTAAAATCATATCTTCTGGGATATAAAATCAGCACAATAGAGACCAAGTTTGGCCTACATTTGTCAAGATAGCCACACACCAAAGCTCGCGGCGCTGCCTCACACCTCCTACCTGTGTAGCACAAGGCAAGCTTCTTTTTGCTGCACGGCTCATCATTCCACATGCCTGTATCCTTCTCTCTCTGAATGTAGATCTCCACACAGTCCTCATCATTTTTCTTATTGTTTGGTTCCCCTGGAGCCCAGTTCTTGGCTTCATCAGTCAGAGGCTTCTGGGTCCCTTCCCAGACCCACACGTTATTGATTTTTCGGATTCCAATCCAGTAATAGCTCTTGGAGTAGCTCAGTATGGAGTTGAGATATTCGATCTCCTCTTTGTTTTGAATTGCGACCAGGTGGGTGTACTTTTGCTGACAGTATGCCCTGGCCTCCTCATAAGTCATGGTTTCTGTAGAAGCATTGTACGACCAGGCTCTGCTGTCTCTAATGAGAAGCACTAGAGGGATATGGAAGGAATGGTAGATTTTGATTCCTCTATAGTTTAACTATTTACTGTGCTTAAGATTGTCTTAATTTTTTCCTTTGTGATCTTTGGAATGACCCAAATGTTTTCATCCTTTGGAAGTATTTGAAACTGTCTCAATGTTATTTCTTTCTCAATAAAATTAATAAAAAGGAAAGTAATCAAAGGAACTTATGAGAAATACTATCATTTACTGTCTACAACTATTATGACTTGCCATCCCCTAGGTGCTGTACCACATTCACTCATCCAAGCTTAACTGCATAGTGACTTCACAGAAAAATTAATATTAGATAACCAGGTTAATGAAGCTTTATTGAGCCCTTAATACGTACCACAGGGCACTGTGAGAAGCATTTTACATGAACCATAATACTGATTTTTCAGAATGTCTAAATAGGTAATTTATGATCAATTCTTTATACCTGAGGAAACTATGACACTAGGAGGTAAGGAACATATTGCCCTGAAATATGCGGGCTCCTGCTAAGCACCCCACAGTGCACAGAACAGCCTCAGTGTGGAAGGACATTCTGATCCTCAGTGCCAATAATGCCCAAATGAAAAAGTCTGATCTGTCTGATAACAACTTACCAAACATGAAAGTGGAGAGAAACCATGGAGCATTCATAATTTCAAGAGTTCTTTTCACTGAAGAAATAGACTTGAAATATTTTTCTGGTAGGAAAATGTAAAAAATTAATCGCAGGCAATTTCCTTATAGCTTGTTACTCAGCTCATTCTACTATGATTTTGATCCAACACCATAAGATTTCAACATAGAGACTACAGAGGCACAATCTGTATTTCAGAGGCTTTTACCAGAATAAATAAAATATTGAGCATTTTCATTATTTATGTCAAACAGAAAAGAATGGTATTAACTCTAATACAATAAAAGTTTGCACATACATTGGAAGTCTTCTCACATATCTGTTATAATGATAAATCTTTTCATAGCCAAGGCTGCATTTGTCAGGAATTCTGTACTTACTGTGCTGCAAAATAGATGTATGGGCACTGGATTTCTCAGGTGCCCTGCCGTTGCCACCACTGCTATTGCTGCTGTACCGTGCTGTGCTGGCAGTTCTGGTGTAAAGTTAGTCACGAGCTACTAAGCATTGCCTGTATGCGCCCCTCTATAAAGGGTTGGCTTCCTGTAATAGGAGGTGGTAGTCCAAATCCTAAGAAAAGAACAGGATGTAGTCCAAATCCAAATGACCCGATTTACTATCTATGTAATAGGTCAAGTTAGACAAGATGCAATGCTAGAGGAATATATACACGCACACAAAAGAAAAGAAATATTTTCAAGAGCGGGAAATTCTTCGCACATTCACATTATTAAAGATTTCAACAAATTTTATTTAACATTTTGCAGATATTGATGTAATTTCAATTCTTTTTTCCATTTTTCTTAGCAACTTTGTATGCAGGAAATTCCTCTTTGGATGTAGGAAATTCTCATCCGCATCCAGTTTCCCATATATTCCCATAGTGCTCAAAATTACAGTGATGTCAGAAACCACCCCTCCAAGTTAATTTTCCCTTGTACAGGTCTTTATATTTCATGTACAATTTTATGAATGTAAGATAAGTGCGTGATTTTTCATTCCAATAACATAAAGCCTGTTCTTAAAGTTTTTTTTAAAGACATCCCTATTCATAGCATTGCTCATGTAATTGTGGTAGTAGTAAGAGTTTCATAAACTTGAGCAAACTAAGAATATTTGTCATTCATGGATTATAATACTCAATTTTGTCATCCACGGCTGTCAATAATAGATCAATGTTTGATTTTTCTTCCTCTTTCTTCTACCAATTGAACGCATTTTCAAATGCAGTCTCTTAGGGTGAATGAACCACAAAACAGCTGAAGACTCTTGCACTTCACACATTATAGCTAAATTACTGAAAACAACATCTTCCAGTCAAATATCTCAAATGATTTGTTTCTTAAAAAGAAGTGAGTAGTTACTCAGATTATAAAATGTAGTGATAAAAAATTGATTGAAGATGATAATATGTAATATATCAACTATTGTTAATTTTCTATTATCTAATTCTGAAATTCTGTATCATTGTTTTTATTGTTTGATCCTTTTAAAATAAAAAAATGAGGGGACTTGATTTAGATACTCATGTTTAGAAATATCCTTGGCTTTCTCAGTGAAAAAATAAAGATTAAAAGCTATATATAGTTCATTCAATTGACACAAAAATTGTATAAAACTTTAATAATGTGAACTTGCAAAGAAGACAAGATAATTCTGTAAGAGACATAAACCATTCTTTTCACTTTCATTTGAACACAAGGTTCTTAAAAACTGTATTATTTGTATTGTAAAAGTAAAGGGGTGGGGACAACCTGCTCAGGTCCCCCTTCTGTCTCTCTTCAGACAGGAGCTTTTTTTTTCCTCCAATAAATATATTCTGCTCGAAAAAAAAAAGTAAAGGGGCGATTCTAAAAATTGGAAAATATTTGAAAAATAATGTAGGATGTAAAATTTACTTAAAATTCTGTCATCCAGAGGTAGCCACTGTTAACATTCTTATTCTTTGTGCATGTCTGAAAAACCTACAAGTGTGGAAATGAAACTGATCTCATTCACTATCCCTATAATAAGTTAAATTAGATAAGATCCAAAGGTAGAAAATAGATGTATAGGCACAAAAAAGAAGCGTCATTTGAAGGAGAGGAAATTCTTTTCACATTCACTTTATTAAATTCTGAAATAAATTTTATTTAACGTTTTGCAGATATTGATGTAATCTTAATTTTTTATCTCATGTTTCTTAGCAGCTTCTTATTGTTCAGTAATTGCAGAAGCCTGATTGTTCACAAACTATTTATTTAGTTTGTAAGGGAGGATGTAAAGCTCGGCTCATATACTACTTATATATACATTATTTGTAATAAATTTTGAGCATATGATCGTCCATGGTCATAAAAAGGGCATAGTTAGATGTGCACTGTAGCCAAGTCTTTTTATTTTCTTTGTTTTATTTTATGTTGTTTTCTGAGGCAAGGTCTGGCATTGTAGGTCAGGTTGGACTTGAACTCACTGTGAGCCCAGGCTAGGGTTGAACTCATGGCAATCCTCCTTCCTCAGCCTCCTGAGTGCTAGCATTACAGGTATGCACAACCACACCTGGCTTACTGTAGCCAAATCTCAAAATTTTTCTGCTATATTAGTAAAATGCGTCACTAATTATTTTACTTTTAAGATTGAAATTAGGTATAAATAGTACTAGATAATGCATTTATTATTATGGATTATTATAACAAGTCTAAAATTCTCTTTTCATCATTTTCATTCAAAGATATATAATAATAACCACAATGGTGATAAAGTCTTTTCATTTACAAATACTGCATTAAGCCCCTAATTCTAATCTCCAACATCTATCTAGTGCTTGCAATGTGCTAGTTCATGTTCTGAGACTTTTGCATGTTCATGTCTATCATTATTTAATCTTCATAATTCATCCATCCTGTAATGAAATAGGTTCCTTTATTTCACATATTTTACAGATGAGGGCTTTAAGGAATGAAGGATTTCATCTATCCCATCCCACCACACAGAGGTAAGGCATTGAAACTCAGGGCCATCAGCTAATCACTTCCCAGCTTGTGGCTTCTTTCCTTTTTCTCTCCTGCACTGATCTGTGCAGGACCAATCTCCCTGGTCTGTTGTTCTCTGTGGTCTTCCCTGACACCTTCCTGACCATGGCCGCTCCTCCTGAGAGGGCAATGAGAAGCTCTCATTCACTTGTTGGAAAAGGGGCGCAGTAGACAGTGAGTTGACAAAAAAAAAGGTGAGATTTCAATAGTTGGAAGTTGAATATCGTCCCCCTACCACTGAATATTTCCAAATTTCCTGCCAAATTAAGACTCATGAGTCATCACTGAGTCTCCAAAGCTTTGGAACTATAGACAACAGTTCCTTCTCAGGAATTTTCCAGTGGCCTCCCGTGGAGCTTTCTGAAAATCACCATCTGGTGGGAGGGCATCCTCTCCACTGATTCAGCTGAAGAAAAGAAAAAAGACAATGCACATCCTAGGCTGAATAACCAGAGCTGGTTATTTTCTTTTTGAGGTGGTCACTTTTCTACTTGGTCATCCTTTTTCCTACAAGTGCTTTGTCCTCCCCTCCATGTCCTTTAGTGGAACATAGAGGACTTTACCTGCTTTTGCATTGACAGTTGGCCCCACTCATTCTCATATTTATGGTGAGGATGCATCCCTGAGGGACTCTGAGAGCAGGAAGAGGAGGCTGGGGTCTGCAACCAAAGTGGTAGAATTTTTACTGAGGCTCTGCTGTATGGAGGAGGTTGTTGAGCCTGGTAGGCAGTGGCACATGACCACATGTGACAAGAGTCTCTGTGGCAGCGTCTATTTATACTTTGACCCTCACTGGTATATTTAACTGGGAAAAATGGGCAATGGGAGCTTTCAGTATAAGGCATTCTTTGTTTAGTCAAAATCTAGGTGTATTTGATGTGGAATTCATCTGATTTCCTCTAAGTTCACTCCCTTAAAAGTAAGTGCACTAGTTGGGGATTTGCAGTACAAACGGAGATTTCAGAACTTCTGGATGAGAAGGAGCCTGGAGTTATTTACTATGCTTTTACACACCTAGGGAAGACAGAGGCTTTCAGACTTTACTGTGAAGAACCATCTGAGCATTAGAAATTTCCCTCTCCAAGCCTAACATTCACTCAGCAGGTCAACGGGGAAAACCAGGAGTGTGTGCTTTCAATGAATATTTGATGTGGTTCTGACACATGTGGCTAAGCTTCACCTCACTTTGAGGTATAAATTCCCAGGTCCATCTGATTTGGAGAGATTATCAGGCAGTACTCATGTTCAGTGGATGGATGGATGGATGGATAGATAGATAGATAGATAGATAGATAGATAGACTTTTAACCAAAATTTCACTACAGATAATAATGACACTCTGGAAGGCTGGAAGACCACTGTGTCAGTGCTACATTATACAAGGAATACTTAAGATGAGTTGGTGTTTTGAATTCTCATGCAAGGAAAGTGAGCAATTTTTAACCAAAGCAAAATATAGCTGATCCTCTCCCCTTGGCTCAAGATGACTCTGTTAGTTCCACTGATTTCCCTTGTTGAGCTTCTGAGTCACTCCTTAGACTTACAAGTCTATTGTAATTTTTATTTCCTGTTTGGAAGAAACAAATGAGGGTGGGTGGTTTAATTAACATTTCCTGTATGTAACTAGACTGACATTGAAATACCCCTAGGGGAAAAATGTCCCTCAATTAGAAAAAGCCACCAGCTTGTTTTCCTTGGCTATTTCCATTGGTGTTTTTCTTTTTTATATATATATATTTTTTGAGAAAGGATGGACAGGGTGGACAGGGTCTCACTGCATAGATGAGACTCATCGTGATCCTCCTGTTTACAGCCTCCCAAGTGCTGTGATTATGGGTGCGTGCCACCATGCCCAGTCTCAATTGCTATCTCAGAGCACCCTAGGGGCAGGCTGGCATGGCAGGCCCGGGGATTGAACTCCCAGCCTCTGCATCTGCCCAAGCAGGTGCTTTAATTTGCTAAGCTATTTGGCCAGCCCATACTGTTTATTTTTTAAGTCAGAAGTT